GTCTTATAAAGCCCATGCGCCAAAAAAAGAAAGAAAAGGTAATCCACATTGTTGGCCTATGCTACTTTATTTTATGGTCTGAAACCTTTCCTAATATTTAGCAAATTCATGTCCAATTGGTGTTAGGTAATTTTAAAATACAAAAAAGTTCAAGTAAAGCTAATGTATTCTCAGACTACTTCCTGGGTAAGCCTATATAAATATATGGTATTATATAGCACTTTATTTCTTTTTTTTTATGTTCAATGTCCAGTCACTATGCCAGACCTGCTCTTGCTTCCTGCTCTCTGTCTTTGAATATCTATCATGTATACAACGAATTCTTTGTCTACGGCCCCATGTGGTCTTTTCAACAAATTTTCAAATTGGGCTTTTTCACTTAACAGACCACAGAGACATTAAGCAAAAGCTGCAATTTGAGTTTAGAGAATTGGATTTGACTTGCATACTCTGCTTATTCATCTAGTGTGCATCTCGGCAGGAGTCCTGCCTGGCACACAAAACACACTTAAAAGAGGACATGAATATAGAATTTCAATGTAGTCCCCTCAGGTATTGTCTTTTAGAGTCAAAGTCAAGCACTGAATGACAAAAAACGTGCACACAGAAATAGTGTACAAAGCAGGGGATCAAATCTGTCCCATTTTCAACAACTAATACAGAACTGTGTTTTGGATCAGGTATAAGTACACAAAACATGGATCTCTCCACCCATTTCAAATAGACTGTTCATCTTTCATTCCACCCCACCCACTTTTGTCTCTAAATGCTCCTAAATCCTATTCATTTCAGTGAGGTTTTGCAGTTAAAATATGACTTAAAGTCGCTTCATTCGTATAAAATGTTCAATTTTAATTTGCACCAACAAGTCAACACTGAACCGATTCTCTGGGGGGCTTTAAAATGGCTTAATAGTATTGAACTTATCTGCTGTCAAGATCAGCAGCCTCATACAAAATAAACATGACTTAAATGATAATGATGGCGTGCACGGCAACTTCCGGAATAAGGTGAATATATTGGCGTTTTAAACATTCACAAGAACATGTCCTTACAGATTAAAGACCAACTTAATTGCTTTTACAAACCTGTGCTGACAAATAGAGCTAGCCTAAATTCAGCCTGGAAGACCTAGCTCCACTCTCATATATCTCAGTGCTTCTCCAGAGTTTACCTGCTCTTATTCTTCATCACTTCACTCCAAATACTCCTCCTCACTGCTCGCCACACCTCCTCCTCGTCCAATCAGCACTCAGTCTACCCAATTTAAACCCCCATTGCAGGTGCACGGCAACTTCAGATTGTGTCATGGCCTACCTCTTCCTCAGCACCACTCTGCTTCTCATCGTACCACCTCCAGTGTCCAGGCCCCTGGGAGAAGAGATTTCCAAAACATTATCTAATCGGACACTCCCTTTATTCACTGTCTTCTGCTGGAGTCTGAGCGCCAAAGATAACTCATTCAATACAGTTTCTAATATTTCTTTTTGTGTCTATCCAGGTTGAAATAGCTGGGTTGTGAAATTTTAAAGCATATTAACAAATTGTAAGAAATAAATACACATTTTTATGTACTTCTTTCTCCACTGTCCATCCTAAAGTACCTGATGACAATGGCATATGGCTCTTCTTGAAAAAGAGGGGTATATAGGCTACTTGTTCAAGCAGGACCCAATACAAAAAGTACAAAAATAAATAAATAAATAAATCTACATGCATAAAAACAGATAAGATAAGACACACAAGTTTCATACAGATAAAATATATACAGTACATTTTTAGTGGTTGCATTTTTGATTGGAAACATACAATAATTTTTATTTAGTTTTAAATTTGTTGTTATTGGTTTCCAATTTGTGTTAGCTCTGTGTGTACATTTTATGGTCCTAGCAAATTCTGAATACAGGGGTGTATCACAGTTAAGACACTTCAAAACAAATTTAAGATTATTAAAATTGGTAAAATTTTTAACGCTAAAAAGGTTATGTTTCGCAGTGGTGCCAGTGTCTGGGCTTTTTGTCAAGGGTTAGTTTGTATAATGAACAGAGAGGTTTCGATGTGGTTAAGGAGGCCTGCGGTGATGAAGTCATACAATAAGATAGATGCAAGAAGATCTTTACATTCATGAATAGTTTTGAAGTCTGGAGAATTGAGGCTGGTTTTAATCTTCTTTGCCAAGTATTTTGTGTGACTGATAAATCTGACATTTTCATCCAGAATGAGGCCAAGGTATTTAACTTCACTGACTGTTTGAATTTTCTCATTGTGAATAGTCACCTCAAAGTCAGTTTTTTGTTTGTGTATGCATCAAAAAACTCTTCACATTCAAAGTCAAGTGGGACACTCTAAGCCATTTTGAGACCTGCTGTAAGGTATGACTCAGATGTTCACCTGCCTGAGCAGGTGTTTTTGCAGATACGTACAACACAGTGTCATCAGCATACATTTGAACATTAACAGTAGGACAGCACTGAGGGAGGTCATTAATATATATAGAAAAAAGCAGGGGGCCAAGTACAAATCCCTGTGGCACTCCAAAGAGATTGGCTAATAGTTGAGATCTCAAAGTTTAATCTGTCAGGGCTGCACACTGGTTAGGCCTGTCACAATAATTACTGTATCATTTAATACATGAGAGAAGGAACAATCATTTTTGAGCATCAATATTTATCGTTAGTACTTTGTTAGTGAGTTTTCTGCACTATGAAAAGATGTAAGCAGTAAATATAAATAACTTCTATGTCTAATTAAGTGATACATTTTCTTATTTCAGCTTATGTTCAATAACAATACTGTACATAAAAATTTTGGGGGGGAATCCCGCTTTAGGGTCATTGTTTCGGTGGCAGAATGGCATCTGACATTATTGTTTCTCATCTTTATTTTCTTCAGTTGTCATGAACCTACAGTTTTTCCTTTCCCCCTCCCTTTGTATTTGTCTGTCTGTGTCACTCACCTGGGAGGAGTCACCCAGCCCACACCAGCTGCAGTCTGTTTCCATCATGCACCTGAGGTTCAGCAACAATCAAGTTGTGCCTTGATTATAGCTGGACCCTGGGGCCGTATCCAAAATGAGGCAAAAATACCTCCTTTCTTGTTCTTTCCTCCTTTTTTGACTTGACCACTGAGAGCTTCATTATGAGGTCAACAATAAGGACCAAGGAACCATAAAGGAAAAAGGAGCTATCGCTGCTTTTGATGGATTTTAATCCTCCTAGCCAGCGCTGGGAACAACAGCTGTTCAGTAAAAACTACAACTCCCATAAAATGGACTATAACAAACGCACCCTTCTCCATTATTGCGCTGAGTCTTATGAGAATTATTTAAACCTTTCAGTCTTTACAGTCAATGTTGATGTATGTGACTGTACATGAGTGAAATTACTGCTGTTAAAAAAAGAGCTGCACTAAACCTGCTGCTTTTAATAAGTTGTCTGTATAAAGTTTGTGGATCAATCAATCGCAACCCTTGTGTTCAGTGGAAATTCAACATGTAACTTTTTGGCTAAGGTGCATGTACACAGCATGTACACGGCACAGCCACAAGCTTTCTGATTGGCTTTCATGTGTGTCAGACAGCTGTGCAGCACATCTGTGTAGATTTGAAACTGGACCATAAACCAGCCATAACTTCACTGTTCAATATGGATGATCCTTGTCATGGCTGATGATGATGCACATCTGGGTCAATGAAAAGGTGCTTCCTAGGTGCATGTAACCAGTTCAGATGGGGCTAGGTTCTTCCTCCACTCCCTGCCAGATGGTTAGTTATTCTTCATGTGGTAACCACTAGCTCATGGCATTGGGAGTTTTGAACATTTTTCAATTTTTTTCCCTGAACTCTTTGTAATTTGGTGACTTTGAGTTCAGTGCTCAGTGTCCATTTTCAACTCACTTGGTTTCTATGTGGGTCCTGCTTCTCCAGTTAAGTTACAGAATACTGAATACCTGCATAAAATTTGATTTTGACTTATTTAATTTTAACATGTTTCACAGTTTTTTAAGCAGTTCTTGGAGGTGGAAAATCACACATGCACTCACCATAAAAGCAGAGTTGTTTTTCTCACTTATTCTGTGCAGTTTGATGTCTAAGTTACATGATGAAATACCATAATGTATTCCTTTGATTTAGGATAAGTAACTGTATTCTGAATACCACCAAATGAGAAAGTAACTGTACCGGAATGCAGTTGAGGTCAAAATTACTATTCAGAATACGTATTCTATACATATATGTATTCAGTTACTTCCTAACAATGAATATGTCCTATTTCTTATTTTGTTACTGTGCAGACCTAACCCTGGTTCAAAATAGATTAATTCTCTTCAAATAAAAGAGGTAGAGGCCGTTGACAGTAATCACACTGACTAACTAGAGCTGTGCTGGCGTCACTATGTAAACAATAACATTTTATTTAGTAGTGAACCCTTGCAGTTATCTTATGTAACATATAGTCTAAACATAAACAATGCAAATTTCAAACAGGATTTAAGATAGTATGTTTAACTGTGCTATATTGTGCTTACAGTTATGAATATTAATCATTACAGATGTGGTAAAAAGATGTAGTGAGTAATGTGTTGGGATAATCCTCGTATATCGGTTGTGTTGTACTTGCCACACATAGTGCATACAGTTGTGTGATCCACTGGTACGTACGTCCATGCGCAAAATGCGCGCTGACCGGACCATCTGTGACCTGCCCTCTCTCCATCGGAACACATTTGAAGGGATCACTCCCAGCATGTTGTGAGCCGCTCACCAACCCTGTGCTCATCCAGATTCACCCCGCCCCTTTTTGTCGCGGCGTCGTCAGTGCTTCAAATAGCGCTGGCGCTTCAGAGCTAGTCCAGCTCTGCGCTCAGAGGCGCGCGTATCTCCCACACCACAAGAAGACGCACGTGAAGAGGTGCTGATGCTCGAGCGGACCTACACAAACTAGAGCGTACTTTCTGCTGTTTCTCTGCATGTTTCTTCTCAAGCAAAGTGGATATTTAACTTTTATTTCACACGTTTAATCGGAAGTTTTATTTGAAGTAAACAAGGTAAGAGAGATTGTGTCTGTATAAATAGCCCATGTGTTTCATGATATGGATATGATATTGTGCTTTTTGAGGAGAGAAGAGCTGCTGCATCTACAATGGTGATGGAACTTTACCATGTTACTTAAGCGTGCGGTGATTAGCCTTGCTCGAAGTAGTTATTTGTTCCACTGGGTGACTGTTGTCTTTCTCCGTGTAGAGGCATCTCCTGTCCACACAGGAGCTCTTTGTCAGGGGGTAGAGGGCAGTCATGCGTGTGCTTCTCCGTGCACTGTGCTTGGACCACATAGCCTATGTGAATGTAGATGCTGGCTATAACAACCTACATGTTAAATCTCGACCTCTCGTGTTGACACGGAGAGTGGAAACCATGAAGTTGGACGTTAACCTCCGTCAAACTAGGGTCAGAGTGCTCTGAATGCCGATCAAACAATTAGGGTAGTCAGTGAATAATTAAATTCCATTATTTTTGCAAAGCCCAATTTAACAGCAGTCACCTCTCGGGGGTTTTCACAAAATGTTGTGAAAACCAACATCAAACAATAACGTTATCTAAGTCTATTGTTTTCTGTTACATTTGCATAGTTAGAAAATATTAATTTTGCTACACTTTTCCTTTTATGACTTCTGTAGTCAGCTGTTCTGTGAAACAGCTTTTAGTGAATGGGAAGCCTTGTGTCTTTTTTCCATTTGATTCTTTATAGCCGAATGGCAGGAGACTCTGAACCAGCATCAACAGGATAATAATTGATTCATTTTAAACTTAAAAAATATTTTCTTAAATATTCAAAACCACTACTGCCAGCTGTGCTGATGAAGTACTTACATTTTATCTCAGTAGCATTTACAAAGTCCTATTTTGATAAAAAATTTAATAACGCAATCGAAGGGGCAGTGGATACTCAGAGTGATTGAATGGCACTGATTTCATGTTTTAGTGTTGCAAAGTGTCCAATTGATCTTTTCATATTGTTTCATTTATTTTGTATTCCAGTTCAGTTTTTGCTTTATTACTATGATTAAAAGTTTGTCTGGTGGATCTGTAAATCTCCAGCCCATGTGTCCTTAGAGTATGAGAATTGTTTTAGCTACAGCTCAGTAAAAGTAAAAACAATAAGAAATTCTGTTTAATTTTTAATGAAAAACTACAAACCACTACATGTAAAAATGAAGCTGTTATTGAACCATTTGGTTCAATAACAGCTCTCGCGAAATGGGATTTCTGGATTTAATCAAAGGTGAACCTTGTAACTTTTATGGTTAGAGATCTTGTTTCCATGAAGATGATATTATTAATGCTTTACTTGGAATAGTCCACAGTATGACATTAAACAAAAGCCTAGGGGAAAGACATTTAAAAGCTAAATTAAAATGTAATTAATATGTTATCCTACCCAGCTCAAATTAACTTAGACTATATCAAATCTGAACATTTCACCAGCAAGTCTAAGAAGTGAAGTAGGACTAAATCATTTAAATAGATGATTTCCAGGTCTAATGCTGTGATTCCAAGAAGTGAAATGGAACTAAATCATTTAAATAGGTGATTTCCAGGTCTAGTGCTGTGATTTCAGTCCACACCCACCCATCATCATGACATATGCATTTGTCCATAAATAGAGTTATCAGGTGGCACAGAGACCTCCACTTACATATTCAAACTCGGCTCCCTCAATTAACCACTCGTGCATTCTGATCATGTTTTATTTACTCTTATTTTTTATTCAACCGATTCCCAGGGCAGGAAGAGACGGTAGTGCTATTACATCCGCGCTGAGTGTTCCTGCTGTCAAAACCACGGGCCAGCTTCAGAAAACCGACTTCAAGAAGATGTTTTTCCCTGTACATTTAGGAGATGTGAGTCCTGGAAGATTCAAATGCTTTCTAATAGCAAAGGGCAGCAAAACATCCCATTACTCTTTCAATGTATATGTATATACTCTTTATCAACATCACAATGTCAAAGAGGTCTGATGGCATCCTTCCATTAGTGAGTATGAATGAGCTGCGAGTGAATAATGCATGGTTTTCAGCAACTCAGCATGTCTTCAAAAGTTATATTATTTTATCCTACGAGACGATTCCATTTCACTTGGAAGAAATTCTGATAGACACAAAAAAATGTATTAGTAAGCTTTATTGAATGAGCTCAGACGCCGGCAGAAGATTTTGTGATGAAGGAGTTGGATGACGATTAGGAGATGTCCTCCCCCGAGGCCTGAACTCTGGAGGTGATAGAGGTGAGGTCGATGAGAGGATGAGGAGAGTGAAGCGAACAATGAGATGATAAGAGCCGAGGGGGAGCTGGCACAAGTTGAAGAGGCTATGTTTCCGCGAAGGGGGTTTAAATTGGGCAGACTGGCACGGATTGGACAGAGAGGAGGTGCAGCGAGCAGGAGTAATGGGAGTGAGGTGATGAAGGATGAGGAGAAGGTGAGGGGAAGGTCTGGAGAAGTAGTGAGGTAGACTGGAGAACAGTGAGGTCTTCCAGGCTGAATTTAGTAACTACATTACTCAAGAATTATATAATTAATATAATATAAAAAGTATCACAATTTTACAATGTATTTGCTGAGGCAGATGCAAACTTTACCTTTATTCTATTTCAAATGATGTAATGTTCTTTTGAGCTCATTCAGACCAAACCATACATCAAGAGGGAGCAGGCAAAGGACATTCTCCCAGCTTCCCCTAGATTCACTTCAGCTTTTCCAAAACTATGAAAATGAGAAACATTAAGCAATGGTTTCACCTCTCCTTGACACACAATTTGGGAGGTGTTTGAAGATGTTATAACAAGGAGTAATTATTCAAGAAAAAAAGTATTATTTTGCAGCACTGATTGGGGAATAACAAGGTTAAATGGTACCTCTGTGTATTTTAAGTAACTACAGGTACTGAAAATATATAGTACCAAAAAAATCCTATAAGACCACTGTTACATATAATGATAAAAATGAAAACTATTTATCACATGTAACATTTTAAGGTAATCTCAAAGTGCTAAAGAAAGCAGATTAAGTTTTTATTGGCAGACGCAAATAAATAACTCAATGCAAAGTAATGGTTTTGCTCAAAGAAATGCTTTCATGAAACATTTATTGCATCTTTTCAGGTTGTTGTTTTTTCAGCCATTAAAACTCTTGTGCAAGACAGATGCTATTCTGCCATTCAACACTTCAGGCAATGCATTAATATTGCCATGGAGACAAAAAGCAAAGTTACATAGTGCACCTTTTAATGGTAACGGCAGTCATTATTTTTACTGTCTCAGCTGCCACAATTTATTATTTCCAACCTTGACCACCTACCCTTGTTTCTAACTATATTGCAAGAAACTCAACATGCTTCATTTTATCTGTCTGTCCACTGTCAGTAAATGCTGACTCTAAAGGGATTGTGGCCAGCAGGAATTGTACTAAATAGGAGATTCATCCAGACATGAGTTTATGCACACTCAGCATCATATCTCTTTTGTTGGCTTGGATGCACCCTTGCCCACTTAACTGTCTATTATTACTAGGGATGCTCTGATCCAGCTTTTTCAGTTCCAGTACCACTGTCGATATTGATGTTATTTTATAAATTGTGAATGTGGATTTGTTACTGTGAAATTGAAATGTACAGATCTTTTATATGCAGATTATTAGATCACATTCAGATTATGGGCACTCTAAAATCCTAAAATTATATATTTATGTACCAGACCTGATTTTTCTTTGTCCTATAAGTAATAATCCCAACATGAGTAGATAATTTTTACACATTATCTGAATTTTACAGAGGTGAAGTGTTGAAGTGAAGATTACACTAACAATGAATTTAACTGAAAAGTATGAACTAAAATCCCTTGATCTCCCTTGATCTCCCTCCCTTGCAAAATGTAAGATGACTAGAGAAAGAAGACAAAAGTATCCACAGATGAACCGGATGAAATTTCTTGGCTTCACATCAGTCTTTCCCAGGCCATTGCCAGCTCAGCTTGTTGCTCAGTTTTTTCTGTGGCTAACTGTGATGTGCTGGGCAGTAAGGGGTGACAGGATATTGAGTTAATTCACTCCCACTGACTAGTTTGGGTTCACATGGAGTCACAGCACTCTGAACTGCCTGTATATAATGGTAAGATCCAACATGTAGGTTTTTAGATTCAGGATTTGATTTCTTTAGAAATATATCTCCCATTGTTTTAACTATTGTCCACTCTCTGAGATTAGGACATCATCAAATTATAGAACATCAGTGCAACCTGTCCTTGGTTTTCAGAGTGATGACACAATAATGTGGATTCTTTTGGATGGACGAAAGTCCTCAAAATGGCACCAGAAAGCTGAAAACCATGATACTTTGTTTTATTTCGTCATTGCTAATGTTGCTAACAACATTATTATTATTATTAATACTACTACTACTACTACTACTACTACTACTAATAATAATAATAATAATAATAATAATAATAATTATTATTATTATTATTATTATAAATGTATTTATTTTTTGCTCATTAATGAAACGGTTTTGACATTTGATCCAAACTCTATTGGGTGCTGCTGGATTAAAAAAAAACAAAAAACATTATGGTTAGTAGTGACATCATCATCATGTTGAGCACAGGGTCCCACAGGGGCATGTGCTCTTCCCTCTACTGTTCTTTCAGACTCACTTGACTGACTGTGTGCCAATAAACCTCATACACGACATAATGAGAATTGTAGATGATACTGTGGTTTGCCTGCAACTATTGTCTCTCCACAATTCTTCTTTTATTACACTTCTTCTCCTCTGCACATAATGTATTACTCACTGCTGTCCAACTCACTGCATATTTAACCACAGCTTATCTTCAATGCATCATTTAAAGTACAGAAGACATAACCTCTCAAATATTACTGGATCATACAAAGCAAACTTTCCTATTCCTCTCTTTTTACTGTGGTTCACCTCACATGTTGAGTTGACATGTCTTCTCTGTTTGTGTGATTCTTATTCTTGTGTTCACATGTACCATTCATATGTACACTGCCATGTTTTGCTTTAATACAGAGCGAACCGCTTCTTAATTTACCAGGTTGAGAGTAACAGTGACTCATTGTAAAGAATATTAACAAGCATATGAACTTGATTGTGGATAGCAAGGTTATTATTTTAAAATGGCTGTGTAATCAACAAATGTTCCCTGGTCCTGGTGAGATTTCATAGTGCGTTTTGTTCAAAGTGCCAGTGCAAAAGGAAACTTTCTGAAGAATAATAATGACAATTTTATGGAAAACACACTACACTACTTTGAATAATCCCTTAAACTCTTTTGGAAATGAACCATATCTTAATTAAACATGAGCTCCATTAAATAAATAGTGCAATGAAACACCTCAGTTATTAGTATCTATAATGACTCAATGTTAATTATTTAACCTCATATACAGAACCTTTCCGTATGAGTGCAAATAAAAAGTTGTCACAGCAAGTGTGATGATGGTGACAGACCTAATAAGATCAAAGTTCTGCCAAAACAACACATCGTAATGAGCAGATGAACATCATAACATCATATATATAAACTTCCATAGAACACTTTTAGATATACTAGTGGAAAAACATATCAAAACAAATTAAGATATACAAATTAAAGGCCATTTCAGTATCTCATGGGAAGTCTTGCTTACTTATACTTTCTTTCTCAAAGACTCCCTCCTGGGAGCTGCTGCATCATGTCAGGTGACAGAAGTGCTCTTAGCAACAACTCATCTTTCCGTAGCCTGATTCCGGATGTCAGAGCCCGGTCCGCCCCTGATTAGCCCTGCATTACAACTCTGTCACCCTGATGTGCTTATGCCGCTATGATCAATAGATTATCTGATGTGCAGACGAGTCGACATGGTTCACTCATTATGCTGGCATTCCACACAAGCTAATCGGATAAACTACTAGGGTATGATGTAACCATGGCGACAGCGCTGTGGCATTTAATCGACGAGAGGTCAAAGGTCAAACTCAGAAGCAAAAGTTGGCAAACACACTTAATGCTTTTTTCTTCTCTGGAGAATATCACAACAACATGACATACTAGACATTAATCTGACCATTTAATATTGTGGACTGAGTCTCGTCTTTTATTGATTTGATTGATTACTTCGTGAGGAACTTAATTGAGTTTCTGATTCCTTTCATGAAAATAATTGATTCAGATTGATCTGGTATGCACTGACTTCTCTTTGTTTTTGTTTTGTTTTGTTATTTATTTTTTCCTTGCAATTACAGCTGATCCTGGTTTGCCAGTGGTTTAACCTGTGTATAGAGGACACATATTTTTCTCATTCTCAGTATATGGACAGTCCATGAATTACAAAATCAAGAATAGCTCAGCATTACAATAGTTATAAGTAAAAGCTAGTGCTGATTTGAACACACCTACCTTTTATGTGGGAACACAGATAGGTCATATTTCTGAAATTTAAATCACATTTTTACATACCCTTCATTTAAAGATTACTCTTTTCATCAGGCTCTGAGTTTCCAAATATGGTCCAATCCTTCTCTGTATAAGACTGTGTTCCATATTGCCGCTAGTGAGTATATGTCATTATCATAAATTATACAGTAACAAGGAGCTAAATGGAGACCATGATGGTGCACTGTCAATCTGTACCAATGAATTACAAGTATTGGTCATTCTGGGTAGGATTGTTCCGATAACTGATGTTGGCAAATACTGTGATAGCCTACTGCATTTTTTTAGGTAACAGTGACTATGCAAACCAATTCACCGATCCAATAGCATAGTGTAGCTTTCTGAAGGAGGATGGATAGTTGAGGGCTGTAGCTGTTTCGCTAACGCCCAGAGCGCTTAACTGACTGTACACTAGGCTCTGAGATGCTAATACAGTGAAGAGAGAACTTTAAATTAACTCTGAATACTGTCATGTTAAATTAGCCCTGTACTCAGAGCATGAGCTTCTTTATAGTGGCTTCCCTGTTGTTTTTGTTTTCAACACACTGTGGTATCGAATAGGTACTTGGTAAAAAAATATATCGGAACAAATCTATTCTGTGTATCAAGTTTAGCAACACAAACCTTAAACAAAACAGTGGTCTAAAGATTTACCTTACTCACCTTGTGTATTCTGAGCATCCTAAGTATTCACCACGAGGAGTTTTGGTGATTTTCAGAATTTTTAGAAATCAGTTTTGTCGTGAGAGTAAAGCTAACAACAATAACAAACATGCTAAAGCACACTTCCTGACTACAAAACAAGAACAATGCATACATGTTTTAATCTCAAAAGCTGCTTATACATTATATTTACTGGGGCAATACAAATTTAGCTCAGATGCATGGGAAAAAATTGTGTAGAGACCCTTTAAACCAGGGGTGTCAAACTCAAATTCACAGAGGGCCAAAATTAAAAACTGGGGCTAAGTCGTGGGCCAAACTAAATATTTATTGAAAAATTTCAACAACATCTTTATGTTTTCTCTTCTTTTGAGATATGTAATGTTATAGCTTTTCTAATTAAAGTAAATATTTAATAAAAGTTTGCTTAAACACTGAATCCAGAACAAGCATAATATAAAATAATAACAACATATATGTACCTAGCGGGCCAGCTCTAATACATATTTGATATGAGTTTGACATGTCTGCTTTAAAACGATGTAACAAGTCAACTGCTGCAAATCACACCTCTGCTCTTCTTCTCCATAGGTTTAAAATGAACCAAGGATTTGAAACCAACTTCACTCAACTGTACGATAACTGGACATTTTACAACTCCAGCCTAGAGACAGTCCTGCCCAGAAACAACATTACCTATGTGGGATTTTACCTGCACCCGCCCTCCACGGCTTCCATCTTCATCGTGTCCTACTTACTCATATTCTTGGTGTGTATGGTCGCCGGAAGAAATAGGTGAACTGCTTTGTTGTTCTTCATTTAGTCGATCTCATTGTGGAAAAGGGATGTGTGGACAAAAACGTATATTAGAGAACGTGCTTGTGTCTACCTCGACAGTTGTACGTCTCGATTATTAGCAGCTGCCTCTGTTCTCATGTGAATGACTGCTTATCTCTTGGACACCGTGTGCGTTCTCTTCTGCCTCTTTGGTATTGATCCTTCAGCGAGGGAACATACTAATCTCGACAAATCATCGTCCATATTACTCTCTTGTGTGTTTCCGACCTTTGACCCTCCACGCATAATCTCTCTAAGCGTAGGCATTCCATAGTCAAGAATGGTGACGGATATGGTTTACCTTTCTGTCGCGGTGGGAGGCAGCAAATTGGTCCATTAAGTGTTCTGCGTAATAATCGAGCTCCTATCGGTATGAGAAGATTTTGCATATTAACGTGTGAGTGAAAGCGGAACATAGAAGTAATAAGTAAAGCAGTAATATTTTCGTCCTCGCGAAGTTGCTCGAGACCATTTCAGTTTGCTTGCATAAGCGCAAATTTCTTATTAGTCTTTACTAAGTGTTGGCTGAAGTGATGTCTTGCTCTAAATTTTTGGCAGCTGAAGTTGTTAGTGGCTCTGATTTCTCAGGCATGGTGAAGTGTTCTCTGAGGGATGTGGTGTATAGATATAATAATAATATGAGTAGTAATAAATGCATATCTATTGTGTTCTAATTATTAGAATTCTAATATGTAGTCGAGATATCTAGATAATTGTGGTCTGAAGGCGGTCCTCAAGGTATACCGTCTTCCATAATAATATAATATATAATTTGGTCTTGAATACTGAACTATGGTTAGCCTGATGTCCGGTTGCCGATATGTTCCCGGTCACATTCTGAGTTATATGAAAGTAGGGTTCGCATAACAAGCAGCAAAATGATATCCCTGCACCGCACATAACACAAATCCAAATATCTCCAAGTAACACACATATTGTACGGCAAGAATACTCATAATCTTTTAACACTTTAAGGATATAATACATTAGCCCATTAGAACAATAACACTAGACTTCCACTGCATGTTTCTCTTAATGCAATATAAACTACAACATACGAAAGAAATACGCGATCAGTATCTTTACCATACCAATGGATGCTATGCACTCTTGCTCAACTCATTCCGCAGCGGAAGATTCCCGCATCCATACTCGTTCCTAGGCTCTCCCTGCCAATTACTATAGTTCTATATAAAGATGTTACTCACGTTTTTATTCTTCAAAACACAGTGAAATGTGAATAAGAGAGTTAACAGATAGAATTTGTATCTCTATCCCATTACCTCACATAGTAAATCAAAAGCTGGAGAGGTAAGACTCCTACGTCGTACAAACTCAAGCCAGGTCATTGTTATAATGAATCAGTACAGCGGAAGGTGAGTTTTGAGATACATTTGAGCAAAAAGCTGATTGGTCTGATTGCGCAACTAGGATCGAAATAGATGTTGAGGAATGAGATGTGGTTGCTCCAGTACTATGATCTAAGCAGGAGATAGTTTTACTGCATTTCTCCTATGACCTTAATGTGTAGATCCACAGGGCTATTGCTTAGTGCAAAGTAGGAAACTCGTTTTCAAGTGATTCCATTTTCGAATCCCTCTTCAGCATATCTTAAGTCTGAAGCAAGCGGGAACCCTAGTATTGAGCTTCAAAATAAATGTGCACAAATTTCGATAAGCTGTGGCTTTTTGCTCACTACAATTCAGCAATTGATTGCTCTCAAAAATCTCTCATGCAGTTCTGGTATCTGCCTGTACTGGTTACATAACCAGTGTACTGTAACTGCACTGTATAATATCCTCAATAAAGACATGTGGAATGGTGTGAGCAAGAAAAGTTGTGTTTACTGAAGAAAAGATAATTGTTGGTATTTTACTTCTCGTGGAGAAATAAGTGCTAGATTTTTATCTCGAAACTGATTGAATCCATATTCAACTTAACTAGGACAGTCAGGATTGTGTTTTAAGTTAAGACCTTAGTTTTCCAAAAGTAATATAAAAGTAAAAACACCATAGTGCCGGTGATACTTAGAGCCATAAATTTAGTCCTAGTAGCTTGCTAGATTTTAATACTAATGAAGTTACGAACGTTCAATACTCATCTATTTAAAATTTGAAAAGGATAATTAAACTTTATATTTCTGCTATATTCATAATTATATATGTGTTACTTTATTTGTAACTAATTCTTGTTAGATGACTTATTGATTATAAGGAATGAAGATAGAAGCGCTTGATAATATCGCTATCTCGATATATCACAATATTCTTAATTCTTGCTGACAGAGAAAATCATCGTAATGTATCTCTTTTTCCCAAGATCATATTACTAGCCAACTATAGATTCCTTTTTTTTTCATGTATCAAATATGCCTCAATATAGTAATGATCAATGTATGTCTCTCAATTTTATTCTTTACAGATGTTACGCTTCTAAGTTCAAGTATATGACACTCTTTCAGGATATATGCGAATTTTTAGCTATATAAGATCAGTGCGGTAGTCCCTAGATATCATTATACTTTTAACATAATCTTTGCAAGTTCTCATCATATATGATTTGCACTCTAGTGTGTGTTCTGTGTATCTGTAGATAACATATTAGTAAAGTAACTGGGCGTGTTGTGTGTGGGTACAATAGACTGAAGCCTTTTGTAATAAGATAAGCTTTACCTTTCAATACGAAATAAATTCCATTGAGTACACTTACACGTATGAACAATATACTTGTTTTTCAGTGTATTGATCAGCGACAGCAAACGTTAAATTTACCTATGCTAATTATTGACCCTAGCCTGCTTGACACTTCCTACCTATAGATTAACTTTCATACAAACAAATGGAGAGCATTGATTATAGTATCTAGTATTTTTGTGACCTTTCTAAAATAGCTTCGTCTGCACATTGAGCATGCGCCAAGTTTCACAATAAGACTATATGCATCCGTGAAATATGGTCTTGATGTTTAGATCGCATTGTAACTCTAATTTAAATGTATGAGCATCAGTGTTTACATATGATAAGTGATGAAGAACTAATCAATGTCTATAGTGTACGAGGTGTTTCTTTTGGATTTGTTAGCTATTTGTCTGTCTCGCAGGAAATAATTAAAGCGGATGAAATGATCAGGAGGTTAGTGTTGTAGATATAATTCCACTGATATTTGTTTGATGTCTACGAGAATGCTGCGAGGTGTGCCTTGCCACATCTGCCGCATGATACTATCAAAGTGTTCTCCCTGCATAAAGGGCAAACTGAAAAGGTAAAATTCCTCAAAGGTATGGCCAGCCCTGCCAAGTTAGCTAGGAATCTCCCATGCAGCAAGCCACTGGTGATTAACGCTAGGTGATATGTGCTTGACTCAAACTAGTTTTGGTCCTTAATGATAAGGACATCGATAATGCGTTAGGTTTATCAACTGAGATGTTGATAATATGCTTGACTATGACTATGTACATTCATCGACAAGTTTAATACTTAATCTAGAGGTCGTCCAACATTGTATTCCGTCACCTCAGCTGCCATCTGTAATGGTATAGATTCATTGAGGATACTGCATGATAATAGCTAAGAGGTCGTAAAACCGTTGATGCTACTACCCTATGTGTCCAAACTTAAACATACTTGTATTTGATGCACTTTTTTTGTTGCATGATATAAAAACTCTAACTGGGATGTACTACTATGAGTGCCACTCTCTTCACATAAAAACTCTTCTTATAATTGTTGATATGATTTTATTGTTGTGTTCTCATTCTCGCTTTTCATATTTGTTATCTTTTTTGATGAATTTTCACATTAAATCTTGAGACTTCAAATATATCTAAATGGTATATATTGAGATATGATAATTTAATTATAATATATTTGAGGATTGTGTACTTGCACCAAGCTTTTTGGTGTCTAGGTCTCTGTACTTTATCTCGAGAAAAAAATTTTGTGAGTAGTGATTATTGTATACTTGATTATGATCTCCTCATGATTATTGACATATACAAAAGGTGAAAAAAGTGTCAAAACATATCACATGATAAGTGTTCCCACATGTCACACACTTTGCTCGGCTTTAAAATAATCTGTTAGTGTGTATGAATGCTCAATTTATCATATACTAAAAGAAACAAATGTTTGCCGCGAGAAAAGAGTTTCATCAGTTACCTGTGATATTAGCGATATTGTCATTTCCATTTAATTACCTTGTCGTTTGTAGCAGACTCATGCACATGTACACATACCAGGACTTACTATTCTGTCCTTGGCTGAACTTTTAATATGATACAATACTCTGCTCCTTTCCATTACATTATAGAAAAGTTTGGTTGTGATTTTATTTTGTGGTTGCAAAATCACATTCGCAGCTAATGCTGCTACCTTGAGTTTCGCCGACTCTGTAAGATAATCATCTTCTAGTGAGCTCCAGGAAATGACGATATGAAAATACCATTAAATCTCCCCTATGATTCAAGAGGCTCTCACTTTCTCTATCTTAGTAAAATTGACCAAACAACTAAAGCAAAGGGACATCAGGTAGATACGTGGGCAGGAGAGTAACAAATGAACTCATGGTGTTATAGAATCAGGAGATAGTTAGAATTGTGACTATATAGAGGGAAGAAACATTGGTGGATGCCAACCGAATTGGTGTAGTGCTTTTATAAGGGATGGTATTTTCCACCAAGTCCCACTTCCATGTTTTTTTTGTGTTATATTTCTTTATTTATGATTGATTACATAATATCAGCATATGAATATTATGTGGAAACTTGCTCATTAAATAGTTTTTTGTTCTTTAGTTAATTAATTAGAATGTGTGACTTCATATGCAATACAATCAACATAATTATCATATTACAGTTTTGTTTCAACTCAACAAAGTCTACACTCCATATGTCAAAGATATCTGAATCTACTTCTGTATGACTTTTTTCGTACTTTTGCTCGCTCTCTCATATACATATT